AATCGTTGCGGGGGGTAGAGAGGGGGTTGATGTCGAAAACCGGCAGTTTTATAAATGAAACAAACGAGGAAGTTGTTTGTTACGGAAGCTTGTCGTCGTTGAAAAACTTTTTCCGGTTTTCTTTTTTTGCGACCCAGTTTTCCATTTGTTGTTTTTAATTAATGGAAAAATATCTTCCTTTTTCCCGTTCCAGGACAATGGAAATAACATTTTCAGCTGTTCAGGCATATTACACTAATTTATTAATCTCGAAAAACATATTTTTTTGGAGTGAATAACACATTGATCGAAATGTGTGTTACCTATACTAACATTTAGTGAACACAACTTATGTCATTCTGTAGTGAAAATGGACATATGTTGAGGCTCATTTATACAGGGTGCGTCTTAAATAAGTGCAAATATTTTCAGGGCTGGTAGCTGGTAGATATCTATAAAAGAAACATATTTTCTCTTTGCCGTTTTTTAAATAAATCTAAAATAACCGAGAGAAAATTTCCAAAAAAAAAAGATTTTTTGCTAAAATTTTGAGAACCACAGCATCTTTTCTAGATTTTCTTTCTTGTAAATTTAATCTACTGCCTATGTTGCCATTTTATCAACAAATTATATTTTTTAACTCAAAACTAAAAAAAAATCTATTTTTTTTTAAATTCCAAATTTTCAAGTTTTTTTTCGAGTAAAAAACTTATAATCATTTTTCTGGGGTCTAAATATACTACCCTTAAAATATTTACACTTATTTAAGACTCACCCTATATTTGTCACTTTTCATGAACATCTTGGAAGAATTATCGATAGTGAAAAGTGTACGGGATTAACCATACTGGATACTTTTAAAGGGAAATACCTTTTTCTATAGGATACACAATATTATTTGAAATACACACATCGGAAAAGTCTAGGGATATTACAATTTTATCCAGCTATCGTCAGTAATTTTATTATTTGCATTTCTGATATAATAAAATTAAAATAAACAAATAGTTTACAGGACGTATTGGAAATAAAAATGCGAAATTCACCGAATTTTTCAAATTTACCTTGATTTTTATTAAACTGAAAAAAATACACATTTTTATATTCTAAACTGTGAATTAAAAAAAAAGATAAAACCATTTTTACTTAATAAAGGGTATGGTCTCCTCTACTGTTCATTACAGCCCTCCTGATCAGGTTGTCGATCTCTTCTTGAGGTACAGCCTGCCACGCTGCATTCACGGCCCGAACCAGATCCCTACGAGTTTCACGAGGCATACGCATTCTCAAAATTCTTCTTTGGACTGCGTCCCATACGTGCTCGATGGGGTTGAGGTCAGGAGATTGTGCCGGCCAGGGTAAGATGTTTAATTGATGAGCATTGATAAACTCACTTACCACTCTGGCTGTATGAGGCCGTGCATTGTCATGCATGAGAATGAAGTTTCTCCCAAAATCATTGCCATATGGTAACACGATAGGCTAAAGAATTAAATCACGATATGTCCTATTAGAAACCTTTCAAGAAAAACGAGATCGGTTTTTCGGCCTAACTGGACTCCTCCCCAGACCATAACTGTTCCACCTTGATAAGGGTGCACTTCCTGAACATGATCCAACCGAATAAGATTTCCCGGTTCTCTCCATAGCCTAAGCCTTCTCGAATCCCGAGGAATTCCAAAGCGTGACTCATCCGTGAAGAGAACATTGGCCCATTGTTCATTCGACCACTGAACATAATCTTGAGCCCACAAATATCGTACCTCTCGATTTCCTCTCGTTAAGGGTTGAGCTCTCCAAGTGCGTCTGCTTCTTAAGTTGACCTCTCTTAATCTATTGCGAACAGTGTCAGGACTCACGGTTACATTATGTGTTTCCTGGAGAATTAAACTAAGCTCTGGTGCTGTTAGAGTCGGTCGGCGTCGAGCATTTAATTGTAAAAAATGATCTTGCTGAGGGGTAGTAATGCGATGTCGCTCTGTGTGCCTTTCAGCAACATCACCACTTTCACCGTAGCGTGCACTTAATCGCGATATTACACTTTGCGTTGTATTTAATGCTCTAGCTACGTCGATTTGGCGCATTCCAGCTTCGAGCATACCCATGGCCCTTAGCATTTCGTCTCTGTTAAGATGCCTACGCTCCATAACGTCGTTTAATACTAAACAGAGTTATTTGAATGAATTCTGGCCAGTTATCAAAAAAACATAGCCAGTACAGGTTAAATGCGAACAATTGATGCTAGGTGCTTTTTATACATTTGACAAAAAATGCACAAACACTTCTGCAAATATCCCAAATTTAGAAATAACTAGTGTGACTACTTCGTTTCAATCGAAGTAGAAAGAATCGGCCTACAAATATGTGGTTGTTTATTCAAAACATTTATTTTTAACTTTAATAAAATGATATCCCTAGATTTTTCCGGTGTGTGTAGTTGAAGTTGTTGGCATTTTGAAAAAGCTAAAGATAAAAAACGCTAATAAGACTATCAAAATGTTGATCTAATAACAATTTGACGTTTATACTATTACGTCAAAAGCAACTTTTTTCCAAAGCTTACCATGACTTCACTGAATCATCGTTTCTTGTTCACTGTTATTAATTAATATCTTATATTACAGTATTATGGTATTCTGGTATTTCGTCGATTTTAAAATAAACTAACTGTTTCTACCTTATTTTTTTGTTAGAATGGGCATAATTAAGAGGGCTACTGATACCGTGTTGTAAAAATAATGTAATTAAGGGCTTATTTTTTGGTATTTATTATAATTTTGCTAATATCTTCGGTTTGAAAGAAGATATCAAAGTGCGGTTTTCGCTGACTTTTTAAGCTTTTACTACTCTTTACTATCAGCTAAAATTACATATACTACTGCGTTTATTTTTTTTTGAAAAAAGGCGCAATGTTTGATTTGGTTTGGTTTGGTTTGGTGCAATATGGAGTAATTATTGTTTATATGGTGCAATATGGAGTAAGAAACGCTCTTCTAAACGAGCCCTCGCTTGTTGGATTCCGATCATCCAGTCCAGAGTTATTAATATTTAAATAAAAACAGATCTAACCTTCCCCCACCACTTTATTTTGGTAGATAAGGGAAAATGGCTTTAACAAAAAATATTCAAAATTTACTGAAGATTATGAAGCTATTACTTATAATACACCTTATCTAGGCAAAATTGTGTAAAAACTCCATTTTCTTATTTTTTGTTGCAGTTGCGCCCCCTAGCGGTCGTTCTACAAAGTTGAAAATAATTTCCAGCAATTTCCCATAGCCTCTTTAGTTTTAAATATTTTTTTCCGCAGCCCCTACGGCTAATACTTTCCGAGATACAGCCGAGAGCTATTCTTAGTGGGACACCCTGTACATACAGGCGTATATATTCTGTGCTGGTAGTACACATTGGTTGAATGTTTTCTTCTTTAGATAAAAAGGCATTTTAGATTTGAATATGAATGAGTTTTTTCCATAAGTACTCTATGCTGACTTAATTCTTCAATAGCACTAGAATATACATAGCTATATATAGTCTGTCCAACGAGAAGATCCTTGACAGTGATAGATGTGTCTGTCATTTTAATTTCAAACTAGTTTATTTTATTTTACAAAGAAATAAGTTGGTACAACTGGAACGCATAGCAGGAAATATTTAAAGTTTGATTGACAAAATGGCAAGTGATTACTTCAAAATATTGTGAAAAAAACTGTATAAAACTGAAAAAATGTAATCGAGTTATTTTATTTAATAAAAACGGTATGTGTTAATACAAAACAAACAAGAACAAGACACTACATACCAAAAAAATATAAAAAAAAAACTATTATTTACTTTCAAGCTTTATGAAACTACCCGCATTTATGATTATATTTATCAATATAACTTATGTACAAATACAAATTTGTAATATTCCACAGGAATAAATAAAACAACATAGGTAAATAAAACAAACTATTTTATTAATAATAACACCTACCAAATTTTATACCTTAAAGGTTGTTTAATTAACTTTAATCTTAATTTTTTTAAACCAGTACCTTTTGACATTATTTTTCTGCAGTACTAAAATCCATTATTTACCTATCGTGTGATGTCGATATTTTACAGCTACTCCAGTTTTTAGTACGTGTTTAGTTTGATCCTTCTACCATATACGAGATGCACTTATCTACGACGAAATGGTATACAAACTTTATAGATCATTGGTGTATAAGACTTTCTGCCTGGGCAGCGAGTATTAACCATAAACTGTGCTCTGGGTCTACAGTTAATTTTCACTCGATTTTTCCTCCACTTGACTTCAAAAGACACAAAACACACGTAATAATACGAATCAAAATGCATCATCTTCCAAAACGCAGGGTATTTAACAAAAGTTGACACAAAATTATAACCTATAATTTGGCAAGACTTTGACAAGCGTCAAAAATGACAAGAATCTAAAAGCGAGTTCATACGCATCAGCGTCCGTTTGTCGTTCATCGTTCCGTCAAACCAATAAAATTGAAATACGATCTGTCATTTTTTAAATAAACCAATAAAACTGGTTAAAAACAACAAGACACGACGTATGACGGATTTATATTTAAACCCATCCATAGATAACTTAAAAATGATTAGAAACTTTTTTTAGTAAAATAAATAGATTGGTATGGGACGTCATCTGCTTTTCTTCTGTCATCATCTGTCGAAATCTTACCTGAGAAAAAAAACAGAGTATATTCTGTTGTAATAGGTGTTATTTTGATGATTTTCTTGACAAAATGGCAAGAGCGCTTGATCATTTTAAATCAAATTAAATAAAAGAAAGTAGAGTTAGAAGTAACTCAAGAACGACTGGACCTATTTTAATGATTTGTTCAATCACTCATCCGTAACAAAAGATTGAGAAAAAAACACTCGCTTGAAAATTTCTCACTCAAAATGAAAAACTAAATAAAACACACTGAATATTATTCAAATTAAATTCTATTTGTATAAATTATTATTTCTAATTTTTGTTTTCTTTTTATTTTCAGGTAAGAAGTCGAAACAGCAAACCCAACAGTCAAGAGATTCCCATCACAACGCAGATCCGTATTCAGGGCCATAAGAACGTAATTTTTGCCATAAACACTGTACTGTACACACACCTCTCACTTATCTTGTTTTATATACATATATGTCCGGCTGTTTTATATACATATTTCATATTCTGCTCCATAAATAATTTTAAAAATTAGATAGTTAATTTATAGTTGTTTCACAATGGCTGGTGATATTACTTTAATTATCTTTTATTTTATTTTTAACTCTTTACTAATAAATAGTTTTAATTGATTCTTTTGGTTCTTTTATTTCCTTGAACACACTTTTTTCTCATTTTCCCACACTATTATAAAAGCTAGAAGCACTATAGTATTATTATATCTAAAAATGGAACTTTTAACTTTAAAAAAATTGGGCTTTTAATTTTAACTTGTACGGGTCTATTTGCTTCCATAAAGTAAAATTTTCTATGGCACGTGGTACCTGATAGATAAATTCTTACTTCTTATCAAAATACACTCACCGGCACGAAAAACGGGAACCTTAAAATTTTCATGTAGGTATGTTTAAAGTTTAATATATTTTGTTCTAGTGAGCCGATTTTAATGATTTTTGAAGCAATTTGTAGCTAAATTAATTGACTTTTTAGTACCTCTTTCTAAATTAAAAATGAAAGTTGCCATTTATCAATTAAACGAGGGAAAACAAAATGTTGATATTTTGGTGAAAGTTTGAAACACCCTGTGGAATATGTTAACACAGCAAATAATTTAAAAATCATTTTATCATCTATGGCGTGTCTTTTTTCGATAGTTTGTTTTTTGATTTATCTCAGTAGGCTTAATTGTTGTTGGAGCTATTCGCTTTTGAATAAGACAGTACACTGAAAAAAATATTGTTCATAATATTAATGAACATTGATTATTAACTGTTGTTTCATTGGGACAATGATTTTTTTCATTAATATAATGATTTGTTAATCATAGATCGATGTCCGATTTATTAATACTATGAATGTAATTTCATCAATATAATGAAAATCTGGTTATTAAATTAATGTAAGACTTTCATTAATATAATGAATTCTTTATTTTAGTGCTGAAACTTTAATAAACACATATTCATTATATTAATGTACTAAATCATTGATTAATGAGTTGTACATTGTGACAATGAACAATGTTATTATACAACGAACACACTACATTATATCAATGTACGCGGTTATTAACCCTGCGGACGGGGCGCCCTTGTGTAGCTCATGAGCCGGGGCGCCGGGTCTCTGAGACCCATCGTCAAATATCGCGTTTTTTGGAAAAAAAATTAAAACACTATATTTTAATTGAAAAAATATACCTTAGTTTATTCAAATATTATAATAGGAACATGATTTAAATATACATAGACAAATTTTATCTTGTTCTAAAATTTGTTGTCAAAAAAATATACCATTTTCTAAAAACTAGGAAACAACTGGTAAATAGGTAAACAAAATAAGATTTTCTAGTGAAACTTATAAAAATATTATAGAACAATAGTTTTTATTAATTTATGGCAATTTCTGAGCACTCAGGACACCAAGCTTCCATGTGAGAGAGACAAACAAATTGTTTACATTTTTTGCAAAAATATTTGGTTTTTGAATCCTTTTTGCAAAAAAAGCATCTTCTTCTTGTACCTGGTTGGGTTTCTTCATTTTTCATATTTTCTTGTGTTCCAGCGACTTCTTGTCTTCTTTCTTTCACCGATCTTGGCACATTTGTTTCATAGTGCGGGCGTTCCTCTTCTCTCTCTCGCATAATTTTTCGCTAATCCAGAAATATAGTGATTTGTGTTCTCCCCTACAATGTTGAGCACTTCAGTAGTAAAAAATAACGACCAACATTCAACGGGTGTTTTGGTGTTTTTCCCACAGTTTCTGACGCCTGGTAATCGCACAATAATATTTTCCCTTCTCGTTCTTACTGTTTTGTTTGGGAAATGTTTATGCCACCGCGTTGTACCATCTTTTCCAACGAAAGTTGGAATTCTTGCTAATTTTGCAAGGGGTACATCGTCGTCACTGCTATCAGAACACTCTTGTTCGGATTCGCTATCAGTGCTTCGAGTTTCAACATGATTTTCCTGAAACACCAACTCTTCTTCTTCATCATACGGCTCTTCCTCTGATGCAACTTCCTCCCATAAACGACAAAGTTTTTCTTGCTCTTCTTCATAATAATTAGACATTGTTGCTAAATAAAACAAATCCTATTTATAAAATGTATACAATATAAATGACATTTACCCTAACTTACCATAGAAAAATATATCCAGCCAGTTGTAGAAAAAATACACTGAGCCGGGGCGCCGGGTCTCACAGACCAAAATCAAAATAATTCAGAAACTAAAATACTTGCTCATCCACGAATTACTGTGCACGTACTGAGTCTAAGCATAAACAGGTAGATAGATCGCCAGGCAATTACGACGATTTTCCGAAAATTGCGGATCGGTTTTCGGAGCGCCATCGATTATACGGTGTAACAAGAGTTACTAATAGTGCCGACTTTTAAATGTATAACTAAATAGGTTATGAAATTATTTCATTGTATTAATGATAACGGTTCATTAATACAATGAAATAAATTTCATTCCTTAATATAAGGATTTAGGTAGGTTCATTAATATAAGGATTTAGGTACACTATATTAATGAAATCTGTTCATTGTACCAATGAATATGTTCTTCAAATTAATGAACACTGTTCATTGATTTAATGAACTTAAAGTTCATAGAGTTAATGAATTACTTTTCTTTATGCCAATGAAATCGTTCAGCGGTTCAAAATTAATGATTTAATTCATTATATTAATGAACTTTTTCATTATATTTATGTCGACTTTTGGTTCAGTGTAACGATTTCCAGCACAATTTTAGCATTGATTAACACTTATAAAATAATGTTTATTCTACGTACGGCTGTAAAGCTGCGTCCACATTGCTCGTGATCCTGCTCGCGCTTTTGTTTGTCGTGTTTCTCAAGATCTTTCGGCTCGCAAGCAACGGCGTCCACATGAAATATATATATATATATATATATATATATATATATATATATATATATATATATATATATATATATATGTATATATATATATATATAGTCTGTGAAACGAATAACTTTGAATTTGACAGTTCCCGCGGGCTTTTCTAGTGTTAATTTTATTAGGTTAGCAACTTGCGGCCATGCTGATGCCGTCTCTAATAGAACAGCCCCGGAGCGAGATTTATGACGTCACGCTAGTTAGATACTACGGATTAATTATGTTGTAGAATGATGGAAAACATAATTATTCCTCGTATATGTAATTTTTAGGATTATATTCGACACTATTTTTTTCATATGATATAACACTGATGAAGGCTATAAACGTTAGCTATAACAAAAAATTTTAGAATAATTTTACATATAAAATGACAGCGATCTTTATTTCATAGCCATCGCTGACGCCTTTTTTCTATGATATTATTATGTATTATTTGCAAATATAATTTTTCGAACATTGATGCTTGCAAAATATACATATAAATTTTGTGAATGCAAATAATAATACATCACTATTAGTAGATATTGAATATTTTTGTTAAATTAGATCGATATTTTACATATTACCCATTATCTTATGTACTTATTCATTATTTGTATATTGTAAAACATTTGATGCATTTGTATGGTTCATAGTTTATTTGTCAAAGTATTTATTACTATAAATAGGTATATATATTGTATTTATTAACTGTATATTATGTATATTTCATGTAAACTATATCATTTTTAAAATACAAACCAAAAATACGAGGAATAATTATGTTTTCCGTGTATTCTACAACATATTTATTAATCCGTGGTATCTAACTAGCGTGACGTCATAAATCTCGCTCCGAGGCTGTTCTATTAGAGACGGCATTGGTCTGATATTTAAAAATGTCAAAGGCTGATGACATTTTACTTTTGTCAATTATGACATTTTGCGTTGATTTTTGCAAGAAGAGGAAGAACTGTCACCTGTTTTATTATTTTCCTTTTCTATTTTACAAAAGTAAAAAGAGTCACCTATCTGATTCGATCAGGCACTCATTTTAAAGAATATCAGTAACTTTTTGGATAGAGGGCTTTTATATTTGCCATGTTGGTAAAAAATAACGGTCAAAATTCAAAGTTATTCATTTTATAGACTATATATATATATATAATAGCGCCATTATTGTCATTATTGCAAACCGAAGGAGACACAGAGAGAAAAAAGGCGGTGTTGGCAGGCGATTTTTCAACGTTGAAATCCGAATTTTCCCAGATGGTCTCCATAAAAACAGAGCGGTTTTGCATTTTCGATGGTTCCCCGAACAATCTCGGCCCCGAAATGGCCGAAATCCACTGAAGGCCGCATGCAAAGCGGTCGCCAAAACGGTCCAACCTCATCGTTTATGTATTCCGGGGAATAACCGAAGTGAACAATTCGATCCCGTGCCGTCGCGTCGTTTCCAGAAGGGATTAGCCGGGATTTATTGCTAATTTCAGGTGAATATCCGCTTCCGTTTTAGCGCTCTGTTTTGGCCAGGACTATACGCGGTATTTCGCTGACGGCTGGAAGTAGATTTTAACCGTTTCCATTATCTGCCTAAAACATTTCCGAGGAGATTAACTTTTTAATCTGGTATTCAGAGAATTTTTTATTAAAAAATGTCTATAGGCTTGGTAGTATAATTTATGAAAATTCTACAAATAAAAATAAAGTAAATATTCTGATATCTTCAGAAGGTCTAACTTGTAAGTATTATTATTTATTATTTCAGTTAAAAAAACTTTTTAGAAGAGTTCAACTACGGTAGCGAGCATAGTTTTAATGGCCGGTTTTGCTAGTGTAGCATAATTGGGGCTATTTCGGCTATAACGAAATTTTTTAAAGGTGCATAATTAAAATTTAAGAAGATGTTCATAAAACATTTAATCACTAGTTGATTTAAAAAATATACCATTAACGTTGCAAATTATATTTTATCCTCTCATAGTATATGTGTATTTAATTTTTTGACGAGCATTTTGTTTACTCACTTGTTTCATCGAACTGTTTCAATCCATTTTTGCTATTGATCAAATCCGTGTAAGAAATTATGAAGCCATAAAATGTTGTTTCGAGAGAGTTGAATATCCGGGAAAGTTGAGTTATTGAATGCATTGCAAAAAATTTTTGGATTTTTTTAGTTAAAAAACATAATTTGTTGATAATATGGCAACATAGGTAGTAGATTAAATTTAGAAGAAAGAAAATCCAGGAAAGATCTAGTAGTTGTCAAAATTTTAGCAAAAAAATATTGTTTTTCGGAAATCTTCAAAGTAA